CTTACATTACATTATCATTCAACAAGCCGATTTGAAGAAATGACAGTGAACCATTTGCCTTTTAGAGATATGGCTGATGATGATCTTGATATAGCCACGCATGTGGTGACAGCAATCCTCTATGGAGCAGATGCCTGCTTTGTGTTTGACAGAGAAGTTTCCTCAGATGAGGACAAAAGCAAAGTAGAAGGAGAAGTAAAAGTGGCTCTTGAGAAACTACAGGGTGCTGTTTCAGTGGGTGCAAATGCTGATCTAAAGGTGAATCACAGTCAGCAAACTGCAGTCAAAAAATTCACATGTACATTTTATGGCGACTTTCAGCTGCCGTCTAACCCAACGTCTTTTGAAGATGCTTTGAAAATTTTCACTGATCTTCCAGAACTGCTGAAAGATAATCAAGAGCTGGCGATTCCACTGAGAGTTTGGCTTTATCCTCTGGACAAACTTCACAAAAGAGCTTCAAAACTTCATAAAGACATCAGCATAGATCTGATCATGAAGATAGAATCAGTGATTGAGAGTTTAAATACAGCTGAGATGAAATGCAGTGATCTTCTGAAAGACTCGCCTGCTCAGACATTTGCTGCATTTCATGATAAAATACTGAAAATGAAGCAAAACTGCTACATGTACAAGTTGAGGCTCATGAAGAATCTCGGCTCTTTGCTGCCAAACATCCGTGGAGAAGTGATGAAGGAAACCGCACTGATTGATCTTCTACAAGAACATGACACATCGCCATTCAGAAGAAGTGATCTTTCAGAATGGCTGAAAGAGAGAGAAAGAGAGTCTGTGATCATAAAAACAGTCCTCAGACAGCTGAATGATTATGGTGCGCAGGTGGAAGTTAACACAGATGCCATCTTGATGGATCTTGAGGTTGGGAATCTGGTCAGTTACACATTCACATCACTGAACCACTCAGATGTGCTTCTTCTTCAACAAGCTGCCTATCTGAGTCCTTCAAAACAAGGAGAAACTGATGAGAAGAGCCCTGATTTCAAGCAAACGCCTTGGCTCACTCCTGAGACCCAAAAGTCCATGAGGAGCTATTTGGAGATATTTAAGAACTTAATTGATTCAGAAGACTGTAAACCAGCCACGTTTATTGTGTCCTCAAATGAAATGGAGGATAATCCTGGTTCCTGCATTGTTCTGTATGAAAATGGATGTGATAAAGCTCTTTGCTTTATTCCTCCATCCAAACCAGCCTGTCCAATCACTGAAGAGGTCAAAGGTCAGAGTGTGGTTCTGAAGGTGTTTCCTCCATCATGTCCTGCTACAGTGGGGCTCAGATTACTGTATAAACCGAAGCAGGACACAGTTTGGAGATCTGAACCTGTGCTGAAGGATCAAGACACAGTTACTCTGACTGATCTGAGAGAAGAAACTGAGTATGAGATCAAATGTGGAGCGGTGGGGAAACTCAACTACACCATATACAGTGATGTGATCAGCGTTACCACAGGGGTAAGATGATCATTCATTAAATATCAGCTGGCAATAAGTACATGTTAGGTTAGAAGTATGTTAGGTAACAGAAATATTATAGCTTACCCACTTAATGTAAATTTCATGATTTAATCCGTTGTTCATTAGAATCAAGTGTGTGTTTTTAGCAAAATACAAAGAACCTAGTAGTTATGTAATAAATGTATTTTTTTTCTATTGAACAGAGAAAAAGCAAGAACATTGGAACAACAGGAATCAAAGTTGAAACGGTATATAATCTATTTCACAGACTTCATCTTGAAGACAGGCACCACAATAAACTAAGACCTGTTGCAGATGTTCTTCAGATAACCGAACATTCATTACAGTCCCATGAGTCTTGTGCTGAAGAGATGCTGATTCAGATTTTCATACAAAAGCTACTGATGATGGACTACAGAGCAAGATACTTAAAAGCTAAAGAAAACAACGAGGAAGATCACACACAACAACGAGACTATGACCCATCTAAAGAGGGTGATATTTTTCACGAAATGTCTTTGTCTAATGATAGAAAAAGTCAGTCTGAGCGAATCCACCCAATGGATGTTCAGATGGCTGTGTTTCATTGTGCTGATGGTTTCCTGAAGCAGCTAATGGTGACTAAACTGTCCCAGTGTCAGTACGCTCTGCCTTTGCTTGTTCCTGATCCATTCACACAACAGATTGAGTTTCCTCTCTGGACATTCAGACAAATCAGCAAGAGCTGGAAGATGAGAAACAAAAACAATGAAATCATCAGTCAAACCCAGCCGATCTACAAAGCACAAACTCCAATGGTGTTTTTCTTCAGGTTTGGCTCTGTGTCTTCATCCAAGTCTCAGCTGATGAACAGTCTGATCAATGAGAAACACAACACATTCTTCCACAGGAACTGCCCAGGCAGCAGCAGAACCAGAGTCCTGATGGATGGAGTGGTGGAGATCTCCTGGTTCTGTCCCTCTGGAACATATGATGATAAATTCACTGACTGTGTTGCCTTCTGTAATCTACACGGTGATGCAGCAGCCAATGAGAAACAGCTGCAGATCCTCACTGAAATGGCCTCAGTCAATGTTGTTCTTCTATCACAACTTCAGAGGTATGACAGAAGCATGAAAAAACTTGATGAACTCCATAAGGGCTCAAAGCCATTTATTTGTATTTTTACTGAGGATGAAACGGCTGTAACTGTGTTGAAGGAAAAATATCGGATTGGTCTGAAAAACAGAAATCAGTCGGATGTTTCTGAAGAGCTCAGAAGAGCTATAAATGATTGTCTCTCAGAATCATCTTCCACTTTCAGACTTGAAGATGTGTCCAAACACTCAGATATCAGAGTAGATGAGGAAGTTGATGAGGACTGCAGGAGAGGAAGAGAAGCAGCACAGCAGATGATGTGTTTACTGGAGAAGAAAGATCTGAGAGGAATCAAAGAATCATTTCTGCCTCATCAGGGGAAACTGTGGCATCAGTGGAGTCAGAAGAACAAAGAACTACATCAACCTCAAGCAGATGAGATAGAAATGGACATCAGTAGAAAACAAACAGACTTGAAGACAATCCGTGAACAGCAGCACGCATCTGATATAAGTGAGTTTGTGAAGCTCTTCATTAAAGAAATGAACACAGATGCTGAACATGAAAAGATGTTTTTCATTAAATGGCTCACAATCCTCCTGGATGAATATATCTCAGCTGACCTTTCTGCTCTACATCATAAGTATAATGAAATGTGGTCAACAGTCTTAACAATGAATGATAACAAAAATACATCTGAGCAACTGACAACTGTACAAATTGACCTTGACAGAGTATCTAAGGAACTTCAAGCTGCAGCTTTTGGTTTGGAGCACATCATGAGGGAGATCGGTCAGATCTATGAATCATGTTCATCTGTGAGGAAGATTAAGAAAGACCTGCAGGTTCACTTCTCTTCTCTCCCAAGTCTTGCAGCAGAGATGATGATCTCTGGATTTCCACTGGAGCTGATGGATGGAGATGCTGCTCATGTTCCTGTGATCTGGATCTCTGCTGTGCTAGATGAACTCATCCAGAAACTGGGAGACCAGAGAGTCTTTGTGCTGTCAGTTTTAGGGACTCAGAGCTCTGGGAAATCCACCATGCTGAATGCCATGTTTGGTCTCCAGTTTGCCGTCAGTGCTGGCAGATGCACCAGAGGAGCTTTCATGCAGCTGGTCAAAGTGTCAGATGAGATGAAAACACATATGAAGATCGACTATATTCTGGTTGTTGATATTGAGGGTCTTCATGCTCTAGAACTGACTGGAAGATCAACAAGACATCATGACAATGAACTGGCCACATTTGTTGTTGGTCTTGCAAATCTCACTTTGATCAACTTCTTCAGAGAAAATCCTGCTGAGATGCAGGACATTCTTCAGATTGTTGTTCAGGCCTTCATGAGGATGAAGAAAGTCAGACTGAATCGCAGTTGTGTGTTTGTGCATCAGAATGTTTCAGACATCACAGCTGGAGAGAAAAACATGGAGGGAAGGAGAAGACTGCAGATGAAACTGGATGAAATGACAAAAGTCACTGCTAAAGAGGAAGAATGTGATGCAGAATGTTTCAGTGATGTCACTGAATTTGATATACAAAATTATGTGAAGTATTTCGCTCAGCTCTGGGAGGGCAGACCACCAGTGGCACCACCAAACCCAAACTACTGTGAGAGCATTCAAGAACTGAAGGAAACTATTATGGCTTTTGCCTCAAAATCACATGGAATGATGCTGATAGACTTAAAAGTCTGTATTAAAGATCTCTGGGAGGCTTTACGGAAGGAACAATTTATCTTCAGCTTCAGTTTCAATGCTTTGGAGATTTCAGCCTACAGGACACTGGAGCCCGAATACAATAAGTGGTCCTGGAGTCTTCGCAGTGCCATGATGGAAACTGAGAACAAACTACACAACAAAATAGAAAATGGAACAATCCATGAGGCTGAGGAAACTGATCTTAAAAGAGAACTGAAGAAGACAAATGAAGAAGTGAAAAAATCAATGTCAGAGTTCTTTGAGAAAGTCAGAGATAGAGATAAACTGATTCAGTGGAAAGCAACATTTGACCTCAAAATTAAAGAACTTCAGGAAAACATTGTGAGGGAAACAAAGAGGAAATTAATTGAGATTCTTCAGCAGCGAGACCTCAAGAAAAATATTGATGCCCAGAGGACACATCATGAAAATTCTCTCTATGAAACAAGCAAACAACTTGCCTTAAAATGTAAAGACAAAGCAAATGATGAGGAAAGACTGAAGAAAGAGTTTGATTTGTTTTGGGAACAGAGAGTGAATAAGATCATCACAGAAATTCCTCCAATCAAAGACATTGACATAATGACAGATTTGATACACATCCTCAGTGACATCTACAAAATTGCTCACCATTACAGTGAGAGCTGTGATATTTTTACTGTGTCGACTTATTCAGAATATGTTCTTTTCAGAAAGTCCACAAAAAGAGTTAAAGAAACACATGGATTTGCTCGAATTCTGTCTCCAGCGGATGAAGCCCAGATCAGATCATTAGTCACAGATGTTGCTCTGCAGACAGACACAATGATTCAGTCATTTAACATTTCAAAGATGGGCTACAACATCAGCTGCATTCAAAAACTCACAGGTTACATCAAGAGGAGAGTAACAGAACATCAGATAGGACAAGTGAAATATGTGTTCAAGATTAATTTCTTCATGGATTTGGTTCTTTCCATCTATATGAGAGCAAACAAGATGATCACTGACCAACACAGACTGTTCAGGGAAGCCAATGATCCTGTAATATATGTTGAGAAGAAGAGAGAAGAGTACTATACAATTTTCCAGAAATACTGTCATGGAGAAACATCAGCTGCTATTTTTGGTGAGATCATCTGTCAGAAACTTAAAGAGCCCATTGAGCAGAGTGTCTACAAGAAGACTGCCAGAGATTTAGCAGATGAAATGAGATCAAACTGTGAATCACTGAATGGAAGCAGAGCAAATCTGGAGAAAGACATCCTAAAGACACTGGCAGAAGAGGAAGATTTCAACAAATACATGAACTACATTCATAATCCCAGAGATCATTTCAAGAGTTTCATCAGATGTGAAGTCAGTCGGTACATCACTGATCAGTTCAGTGTCAGTGTTTTACCCAGGATGAAGGAGAACATTGAACTCCTGCAGCAGAAGATCACGAAAGCATCTCATGAATCTACTGAATACGTTCAAGTCAGCAGAGGAGATGTTGGTTTGTGGTTGAAGAATTTCACACAGCAGCTCTCAGATGAGCTGATCTTCTCTGAAAAAGACCTCAGTGGAGTGAAACATGATGATGTTGAAGTGAAACTCCTAGAAGATGTGATAGATAAAGAACTTCCTGCTATAATGTCTGAGATCAGCAGTAGATTCAACACAAAGACATTTCCAGTAAAGCTGGACTATAAATTCAGACCAGATGAGCTTCTGATTGATGACTTCTGTTGGTGCTGTTGGGCTCAGTTTCCGTTCTGCACCAACACTGTAGAAAACCATGATGGAGATCACAGTGTTGCTTTCCACAGAGTGAGAGGAACTAAAGGGTGGCATTTCTCTCAAGCTCAGTATCTCTGTGCTGTTATTTGCACCAAATTAGTGGCATGTAATCAGGATGAACCAGATGGAACGTTCCCTTTGAGAGAACATAGAAGAGCAGGAGGAGTTTATACAGACTGGAGCATCACCCCTGACCTCTCTGAACTGCCCTACTGGAAGTGGTTTGTGTGCAGATTCCAGAAAGATCTGGAGAAATATTGCAATAAAACATTTGATGGATATGGTAAGATCCCAGATGAATGGAAAAAATATTCAAAACAGGATGCTATTGAGAGTTTGGGTCAATGCATCTAATGGAGAAGATGAATGCAAATCTTCCGTTTCCTCTCAGAATCTCCTCAGAGCACAGCCAGAAATTAGTTTCTATTATACATCTATATGTCAACACCTCAAAGAGGACAATATTCAATCTAAAAGTATACTGTTCTACAGAGCAGGAAAAATCCTAAAACCATTTACATTTTCTACATTTTAATTGTAGACATTTTTATTGAAAAAATATGCAACTTCTAACTAAACTGAATTGTTTTATAGCTTTATACTTTTTTATTGATTTATTTGTAGTTGTTGTTGTATGTTTAGAGGTTAAATTAGCTGTAGATACTAACATGATTAAATGAGTATAAGAAATAAGTTGTAACTAAGTTACAAATAATAAATAAATTCAGATTATAAAATTATCTGCTGTTTAATAATGCAAACAAAGGTATCATTTGCAACATTACTGGCCCCTACAGTTAAGTGAGTTGAATTCAATGTTTTTACCGTTCAAAAAGGATATGTAATGTGTAATGTGGAAGTTTGTGTACCATCATGTTTTAAATTTTTTCATAACATGTTTAATCAGTTTTTTAAACATTTAAACATCTAATGAAAATGTTATTACATAATTCTGTGATCATTACATGCGTCATGTGCTTGTAATAAATGACTTATAGTATGAAAAAAATAAAATGTACAAAAACACGTCCTCTTCTTATATTGAAATCTTGGACAAATTCTGCATGCAGGCCAGCAGTTGAAAGATGAAATTACAAAAACTTTAAGACATAAAGCATTTAGCTAGTGAATGAAGTGATGATGAAAATAAGTTCAAGGGATTCAAATTAACTCAGACATTGTGAAAATATACTGAACCGCATCAGTACTGCATCTTTTTCTCAGGATAGTTATTCTAGCCACATGGTTCCTTCATGATATAAATAAATTCATCAAACATAGATGTAAGGAACAATGGGTTAAATCAGTGTGTTCTGGATTACACTGAGTACATTTAAATTTAGTAATTTAGCAGACACTTTTATTCAAAGCGACTTACAAATGAGGACAATGGAAGCAATCAAAATCAACAAAAGAGCAATATGCAAGTGCTATAACAAGTCTCAGTTAGCCTTGCTCAGTTCACATAGCAAGGTTGTTGTTTTTTAAATAATATAATAAATAAAAAGATAGATAGAAACAGAACAGAAAAGAAAAAGAAAAGAGCAAACTAGTGTTAGAGGCCTTTTTTGCTTTTTGTTAATTGTATAATAAATAAAAAGAGAACATAGATAGAATACAAAAAATAATAGAGAAGCTAGTGTTAGTTTTTTTTTTTAAGAAAACAAGCAGTTAGTAAATCAATAGAGTGCAAGTCTCAGAGAGACAAGTTTTTTTTTTTAAAGAATAGAATTAGAATAGACAGTGCTAAAGTTAGAAGGTCAAATAAAGATGGAAGAGTGTTTTAGCCGATTCTTGAAGATGGCTAAGCACTCAGCTGCTCGGATTGAGTTGGGCAGGTCTCGCACCAGGAGAGAATATTTAATTTAAAAGTCTGTGAAAGTGATTTTGTGCCTCTTTGGGATGGGATGAGAAATTAGAAATGATTGGAGAGTGCTGCAGGAGTAGCAGTGTCCTCTGGTTTGATCCACGTCTCTGTCAGGGCCTAGGTTTAGTCTTGAATGACTAGAAATAGATGTAATAAAATCAGAAAAGAGGATGAGTCAAAGGCGATACTTTTGTCCCTTGCTGGTGTCCCTGCCCGGTGGAGTCGCACGGCAGATGGTCTTTACACATTTTACACACAAATGTGTCCAGGTCCTCCACATACTTAAAGATGAATAAACAGACATCCCTTGCTTCATTTGTTTACAAAAATAAAATTTTTTTTATTTGTTTACAAAATTAATTTTAAGAATTATGCAAAAATAATTAAAAAATTTTTTTTACAAAAATATATGTTCAACAAGAGATATGTTCCAACTATCATAAAGGAACAGTTGAATGATCAGATAAACATTTCTTGAAATGCAGTACACATACATACATAAGCTACATAGAGAGATTCCTTGCCTTGATTTATTATTCACAGAAACATTGCATGGACTTTCAGGACTTGTTCATCAAGACAATTTTATATGAATGTGTCCAGCTCCTCCAGATACTCAAAGAATCAGAATCGAAAGCAGAAATCCGAATCAGAAAGAGCTTTATTGCCAAGTGTGCTTACACACACAAGGAATTTGTCTTGGTGACAGAAGCTTCCAGTGCACAGACAGAATAACAAGTGACAAGACACAGATAACAAAATAAACAAGTGATTAAAAATAAATATGTGAAAACAATACACAATAGACAAAAAGACAATAGACAACATATTGAATGTACAGATGTGCTATATACAAATTATGCAAGGGAATGTGGAATGCATACACTGTTTTTTTCCCTCTTCTGCTGTTGTGGTAATGCAAGGAATTATGTGATTGGTTGTCAAGGCAGCCAATCAGAATTTAGCAGCCTTGTCTCTGATTGGCTGTAATTATGGCATATTGTAACACTGGGTTGTGTTGAGCAAGCGAGCCATTGGCATTTAGAGAGCACCAGTGGTGTATAAAGTACCTGACAGCCATACTCAAGTAAAAGTACAGATATCTTACAAGAAAATGACTTTGGTAGAAGTTGAAGTCACCGCATAGAATATTACTTGAGTAAAAGTCTTAAAGTATGTGATATTTATTGTACTTAAGTACGAAAAGTATTTTTTAAATCTAAAACGTACTTAAGTATTGAAAGTAAAAGTACAAGTAAAAAAAAGAAAAAAAGAAGAAAATAAACAATATTAAAAATGTTCATACACAGCTTGAGTAGCAAGATTGTGTTCAGTTTGAACTCTTTCTTCCATTTTGTATTTTTGGGTAAGAATAAGAAGCACTTCATCCGGTACTTAGTGTCTTTCATTCCAGCACAAGAAAACATTTCTGGAATCTACATCTGAAATAGCATTTAGATGTATCTACACAGTTTATGTATCTAAGGGGACATCAATGCATTTAAAGTGCAGTTACAGATGCAGCAATATTATGTCTAAAATGTAAGTCATTTATTGCTTTACTGAACTTGTATAAAAATTATTATTTAATTTATTTATTAAATGTGTTCATGCTGATATCTGCAGAAAAACGGTACTCTTTGTGTGATATAGGCTAGATTAAGTTAACTATATTAAATTATATAAATGTAAGCATACAGAAGCATTTTTGCAGTCTACAATTTAGAATGCCTGGAATTTTGAATTTTGTGTGCACTCTTGTGTGTGATTTGGTGATATAGCCTATTGATAATGTCAGATCACACATCATTAAAACAACACTTACCATATTATCGCAGACGATCCTGTATCGCACACACCAGCCTCGACTTGAGTGGAAAATAAATCATCTGCGGTTGTGCGCACACTTGTTTGCACATGAGCAAAGCAGAGCAAAGGTGTTTTTTAGGAGTCTAACTTGCAAACGCCAGACCACTGATTCGTCTGGCGTAGTTCTGCCACGGTCCATTTCTCCGCAGCTGGGGCGGGGGAGAGGGCTGAGGCGTAGGAGGACGCTGGAGAAGGTGGCTGACGCCTTGAAGGCGCAGGTGATGGCGTGCCTCGGTGCCTGGAGGTATGCGCGATGGCGGCGCGGGAGGGCCGGCGGCCCCGAGTTGCAGCCGCGGGCTCGCTTATGGTGTCCTGCGGAGCGCTGGTGTGCTGAAGACGCCGGAGGACCCGTGGTGTCGAATTCGTTATCGTCCGGGAAAAGCTCGATGTCTGACATGGTGCTAGGATGCTAAGGACGGGAGATAATGGAGGTAAGGCTGCTTTGATTATTTATAGAGGTTCTCTCTTGAGCTGATTGGATAGATGGTGTAATTACTGATGATGAACTGGCCGTGTTAATTATCTGTGCGCGCTCCTCCCGAAACTTGTTAATAAAACATCACTTTGTGCGCTCACAAAACTCAGATCGCGCGCGTGCAAAAGGCACTTTTGTGCGCTCAAAATATGATCTTTCACATGCAGAATTGTGGCAGAGATCTAAGCCTATATAGAGATTGCATTGCAGTGCCTGCAGTTCGAAAAAAATAATCTGTGTATGGAAGTCTGCGAGAGCACTTGGGGCGATTCTCAGTCTGTCAGAAATCGCCCAAAAAGGGGCGGTACTACACAAAACAAGACTTGACGCTGATTGGGCTATTTAGAGGCAGAACAAACAGTCTAGAATAGTGAAAGCTAGCATAACACTGTGGTTAAATGTGAAAGAAAAAATCCCTCCATTTCGCGCTTTGGTGGTGCGTCGCCCAATCGCCCTAATGGAGAAACCGCCCCTGTATATATATATATATATATATTAGGGATGCACCTGTCGGTATCGGGCCGATACTGAGCACTATAAACATAATTTATTTTTAACCTTAGGCATACACGACTTTCTGGCGGAAGTGAATCTAGCAGCTTGTGTGAAGTGCGCTAGGCTGTACTATTCTGCATCAGTACAAATACCTGCACGCGTTGCGCGTGTTTTGCTTGCTTCATGAGTGTTTCTGCAGTATATGAGTGGCTTTGGAAAATAAACTGCAGCACGTTTCAGATGAAAAAAACGCGACTTCTATTTCTGAAAATATCACAGTTAGGAGATTTATAGCGAGTGGTTCCCTGCATTATTACAGCAAAGCGCGTGATTACAGTACTGAGCCGCTGCAATGGAGCAGCTCTAATGCTATTAAATTAAAGATGATGTTGCCTACCATAGAGAGAGCGAAAAATGAAGCGTGAAAGTAACAAAAACTTGTAAAATACATTTTAATGAGCATAATTAAGTGTGAAAATAACCGAAGGATATACAGTCAAACCAAAAATCAAACCAATTATTTTTTTACTAGTGAGTGTAGGACACTATAGTTCATTTATGTAAGCGAGGATAGCAAAATAAAAATAAACTGTGACAAATTATACCCAAAAATTCGTCATACAGTGGACTACCAGTAAAACTGATACAAATTTGG